GAGTGATTCCTGAGCACAGAACCAGAAGTAAGTTTGGAGCATCACCGGCCGTGGCCCAATACAAAAACTATTTTTTTTTTGCTTTTGGGGTCACACCGGAGATGCACAGGGGTTACTCCTGGCTCTGCATTCAGGAATTACTCCTAGCGGTGCTTGAGGACCGTATGGGATGCTGGGTATCAAACCCAGGTTGGCCGCAAGCAAGGCAAATGCCCCACCTGCTGTGCTATCACTCCAGCCCCCACAAAAACTTTTTAAAGAAAATATATCAATAATAGTTCAGGATCAGTCCTGGAATATTAAATTATACTCTACTAGTTTTGACATTGGATTACCAAAACAAAATAAAAAATACCAAACCCAACAATAATAACAACAAGAAAACAAAACCCTGGATGTTGAATTAGAGAACAGTGACAAATTCTAAGTATATTATAAGACGGATACAGCTACAAAGACATTAAATTGGTATAAAACCTAAATTTCCAAGGAGTTTTACAATTTTTGCTATTTTCCAACATTAGTAGCTTATATTTCACTATTTATGGCACTCCCTCTATTTGGCACATTTTTTTTCATTATATTTATTTATTGAATCACTGTGGGAAAAGTTACAAAGCTTTCAGGTTTAAGTCTCAGTCACACAATGATCAAACACCCCTCCCTTCACCAGTACTTTATTCGGCACATTTTTCATGAGCATCACTGGTTAAAGTAATTCAATCTTTTTCTAACTAGAAAGTAGTTGCTCTTACCATTGTTTCCCCAAAGCTTTCTAAAACGCAGTTTTCTCCCCAGTTCTCACCTCATGGGACCTAGATGAGGAGTAGCCATCCTCTTCCTTCATTTCCTGTCAATTTTAGCTACTTGTTCATTACAGCTTCTCCAATATCAGCACAATCATTAGTCTTTGAGATCTCAACACATCCTCTCTCTCTTCTTTATTCTCTTTCTCTCTCTCTTACTCCCTCCCTTCTTCTCAAATCCATGTTTATCCATTCTATCCTGCAGTGAATTGAGAGTGTAGCCGCTTCCAACCCTATTTCACATATTCAATCTCACGATCACTATCTATCACTAACCTCCCGTTGTTCATCGATTTGCTCGAGCGGGTCCAGTAATAATACTTTTTTTTGTGGGGGGGGCGGGGGGAACTTGTATGATCAGGAATTGACCGTGGGGCTCTCACATGAGCATTAACTCCAGCCCTTGGAACTAGCTCTCCAGCCCTGGTCATACCTTTTTATTATTAAGTGCATCCCTACAAAAAATAATTTCCATGCATTTATTCTATCATTTTATAGTCTGCCAGATCATCCTAAAAATGTGCTGACCTACTTTCAAAATACCAATTACTGGCTCTGGGATGGGACTCAGCAGTAAAGGGCATGCATGAGACCTGGGTTCAATTCCGTGTACCACAAAATTAGTTAATTAATAAACATTCAAATTACCATCACTACAGCTATTTGGGTAGGTTACCATCTCTCACCCAGAATACAGCAGCCTCAATGATCTTCCCTGCTTCCACCCTGTTCATCATCATCCTTTTCTCAAAGAGTTGACAGATTCTTGAAAAAGCTAAGTCCAATTACATCACTATTCTGCTCAAACCCATCCAATGTCTTCCTGTATAAAATCCCACTTCAACTAAAAGCTAAACTCTTTTAAATGGCCTAATAAGAATCTGCTGGATCTAACCATCACCCACCAGTCACCATCACCACCTTTCTGACTGATCCTCTTAAGCCTTTAGTCCATTCCAAAAAGATTTTTTGAAAAGTAAATATCTCAGGCATGCTCTAGCCTCAGGGACATGCATTTGCTACTTCCCTGAGCCCAGGATGTTTTATACTTGTCTGCATAGCTGACTCACTAAATGCCTTCAAGTTGTTCTGTAAATGTCACTTTCCCCATGGACTTTCCTGACCATCTTCCCATTCTCCACTCTCCTTGCCCTGTTATATTTTTCTTGTTATTTCTTATGCTGTTATTTAACTTATCTTTTGTATTTTCCCACCTAAAATTAAGTTTTATGAGAATAAAGAATTCTGTCTGTTTTGCTTATTTATATATTTCAGGCTGTACAAGAGTACCTAGCATATAAAGTTGTCATACAAATACTTAATGAATATTGCCCTTCTTCAAGGAAGGCGAATTCTCTACAGCATCAAGATGATACTGAAAGGATCATTTTTTAGCTTTCTAATTTTACAGATTTACTGTTTTATGCAGAATCAGAACTGAAACTAGTTTAATAATTATACTAATGACCTCTCAAGAAAATATTTCCTTTTGGTCCTTCTTTTTAAACTTTGAACACTCTGAACTTTCAAGGCAAATATTTGTTCTGTTCTTTTTGCATTTGCAATGTTCTACATTTTGTACTGAATTGTTTGCATATCTCTATTAACTCACCTATAAAACTATATGTTTTTAAAAGTTAAGGACTCCTTAATATCCTATGCAGTCAGCATGGTAACTTACACTCAGAAGAGCCTAAAAATATTCATTCAAATGAACATTTGGAAAGGCAGACAAGAAAAGGATGAAGTCAAATAGGACCAGATGCTCTCTTTTGATTATGACAATAGTGAGTCCAAAAACCAAGGACAGTGATTTAAAAGATTAGAATAGTAGGCAAATTTTAGACCTAAAACCTTGAATATGAGTCCATAGGTATATTCTCATATTTTGTATATCTCTAAATACCTTGATATTTAGATATTTGGAAATCTCTAAATACCCTGATATTATATATAAAATAATGTACTTTTCTTCTAGCCTGGTACTTGTAAAAGATATAAAAAAAGTTGTTGGAAAAAGTGATTTTAAGCAAACTTTTTAAGTTTTGCTTTGGGTTACTGCTCAAAGGTTACTCTAGGATTGCTCAGTGGTTACTCCTGGCTCTACTCAGAAATTACTTCTGACAGTACACAGGGACCAAAAGGTGACAGGGATCGAGTCCAGATCAGTCACAAGTAAGGCAAGTGCCCTACCTTCAGTACTATCACTCTGGTCCCTTAAGCAAACTTAAAAAAAAAATGTTAAAGTTGTTTAAAGTGTTGCTGCTTTCTAATGCTATATTAACTAAACCAGCATTTTCCAAAAACTCGGTGAATTAATCCAGGACAATCTCACAATTAAAATTTCATAGTCCTAGGGCTGGGATTAGTACAGCGGGTAGGGCATTTGCCTTGCATAAGCCATCCCAGGTTCCATTCCCTGGAATCTTATATAGTTCCCTGAGCACAACATGAATGATAGAGCCAGGAGTAAGCTCTAAGCACCATTGGATGTGCCCCGGCACGACCCAATATCAGATTCTATAAGTACTCAGTTATACCACTCCAAAGTATATTTCTGCATCAACAGCTTATCCTTTAGACCACAACATAAATATGACAGCACCTCAAGGTTATTGCATCAGAGGCATTTATGCGGTAGTCTGGAAGGAAGGTCAATTATCTGACCTTAGCCTGAGTTTTCCTGACCAAGAGATTTGCTTCTTGGTTTGTGAAGTGGTTTGGCATAAGAACACTTGAAGCAGTTAAGGTAACAAAAACAGAAATAGAAACAGAGGCTAAATTATTTCACAAGTTCATTTTACATTTTTAAACTTCATAAAACATTATAATGTTTGAATTTCCAAAAACAAAATATAAAGAAATCCCTTCCCCTTTTTGGTTCTGATTTAAATAAAAAGTATACTAATAATATAGCAAAATATTCTCTAAATATTCACTTGGTGAAATCATTTAACCACTACCTGTACACAAGGAAATAAAGTGACTCTTTAAATAAGTATGTCACAGTCCTGTCTAAAAGGGCAACAATTACAGGTTTCATAGGCATTAAAACACAGATTGTGTGGTTCCAGGTTTTAAAAAAATCTGCCAATTCTGACTAGTAAACTAACAAAGATAAAGGACATAGTTTTTACAAAAGTACTTTTAAAAAAATAAAAACACAAAAATCTACAACCTAAAAGTCAAAGAGGTAAATAGTAAATGAAATAGAGAATACAAAAATAAAGAGACTCAAAAAAAAAAAAAGTTTGTTCCTGACAAACAAACTGAAAAACTTTTAGCTAAACTAAAAATAGAAAAGATGTGAACTATTAATTAGAAATGAGCACTACAGACCTACTTAAAATAATGGTATGGACAATATATGCCAACAAATTAAGTAATTAAGATGAAATAGACAAATTATTATAATATCTACCTACCTAAGTTACCAAAAACATCTATCAAATGTGACTTAGAAGGAAACAAACAAAAACCCTGAATAAACCCGTAACAAGAGATTGAATCAAAATTTAAAAACTTTCAACAAAGAAACCATTTAAAGAACTAACATCAATTTTCTCAAAGGCTTGCAAAATCCAAGAGGAATATTTCCTAATTTATTTTAAGATGACAGCATTGCCTTGAACCCAAGAAAAGCAAAAATATCACCAAAATAAACTAGAGAAGACTTATAAGTATGAATGTAAAAGTTTTCAACAAAATACTAGAAACTGAGCCAATGAGCTGTGTGTGTGTGTGTGTGTGTGTGTGTGTGTGTGTGAGAGAGAGAGAGAGAGAGAGAGAGAGAGAGAGAGAGAGAGAGAGAGCGAGCACGCATTCAGGTAGCTTTTATTGAAACTTCCTTAGATGTGAGGTGAGTGGAAGGGAAGTGTGCATTCAAGAGAAAACACAGGCTCCTTCAGAGGAAATAAGGCAAGTAAAGAAACAGGCAAGAAAGCAAAATAGGTGTTCATGGGAGAACATAGGCTTAGTGAGCAAGCCACTAACAATGAGCACTTTTTAATGATTATATACCCCTACATCAAGTATTATTTATTCCAGGATAGAAAAGGTGGTTTAACTGGGGGGAGGGGGGGAGGAGGGAGGGGAGGCAGTGATGATTACAATTGATGAAGAAAAGCCATGATAAATTTAACAGCCTTTAGTGAAAAATACACTTTCCTGGAGTTCCCAGTAAAGATAACTTACTTTGCATGCAGTTCACCAGGGTTTGATCCCTGGTATCATCTCCAGAGCATCACCAGGAATAATTCCTCAGTACAGAGCTAGGTGTAAGCCCTGAGAAGTGCCAACTGTAGCCCCAAACCAAACCAAACCCTCAGGCTGGAAAGAGAGTTCAACAGGATGAGCGTATGTCTTGCGTACAGGAGTCCAGATGGCATTGCATGGAAGCAGTGAACTACTCCCAGTCCACTGCTCTGACGTCACTGGGAGGAGCAGTGAACTGGGAGAAATCCCTGAGCAAAGTGTAACAACGTTAAGTAAGGCCCTAAAAACACTGTTGCATAATACATGAATCAAAAACTGGTAAATCTGCACAAGGATAATTATTTACAGTACCTCTCTCTTAAAACTGGAGTAATGAAGAGGGGTTAAAAAAAACCATGATACAGTAGAGTTAAACAAGGACTTATCAGACTGAAACTTCTAAAACACACTCAACAGCAATATCACAACACATACCTCTCAAAGAGTGTGTCAATCAGGGGCCAGATAGACAGGAGAGTGTGTAGAGCATTTGCCTTGCACGTGGCCGACCCCGATTCAATCCCTGGCATCCCATATGGTCCCCCGAGCATTGCCAGGAGTAATTTCTGAGTGCAGAAGCATTAGCATTGCTGGATGTGTTCCCCCCTCCAAAAAAAATGTGTGCCAATCACATGAAGAGAGATCATATTCTAACCTATAAATGGAGGCTAAGTAAGTTATATATGATTCAACTTATATGAAGTGTTCTCTAAACACACTAAATTAGAAATCAATTACAGGAAGGTCCTAAAGAAAATTTCCAAATTAAAGACACATTTCAAAATAATTTATGGGATGAAAAAAGTGAGGGTATGTAAATTAGAGGTGTATTAATTAAATGAGGGCTGGAGCGATAGCACAGCGGTAGGGCATTTGCCTTTTGCGCGGCGTACCCGCCCGACCTGGGTTCAATTCCTCCGCCCCCCTTGGAGAGCCCGGCAAGCTACTGAGAGTATCTCACCCGCATGGCAAAGCCTGGCAAGCTACCCATGATGTATCTGATAAGCCAAACACAGTAACAAGTCTCACAATGGAGACGTCACTGGGCCTGCTTAAGCAAATCGATGAACAACAGGAGGACAGTGACAGTGATTAATTGAATGAAAAAGTACAAGCATGATACTCTCCATGTCTATCCATTTATAAGCAAAGTTCATGACTCTCCTGACAGCTGCATAGTATTCCATTGTGTAAATGAAAAAGTTTCTTTAACCAGTCATCTGTTCTAGGGCACTTGGATTATTTCCAAGTTTTGGCTATTGTGAACAGTGCTGCAATGAACATATAGGTACAGATGTCACTTCTACTGTGCTTTTTTGCATCCTTGGGATATATTCCCAGAAGTGGATTGCGGGGTCATATGGAAGCTCAATTTCTAGTTTTTGAAGGACTGTCCATATTGCTTTCCAGAAAGGCTGGACTAGTGGGCATTCCCACCAATAGTGAAAGAGTGTCCCTTTTTCCCCAAATCCATGCCAGCACTGGTTGCTTTTGTTCTTTTAAATGTGTGCCAGTCTCTGTGGTGTGAGATGATATCTCATTGTTGTTTTGATTTGCATCTCCCTGGTGGCTAGCGATGTGGAGCATTTTTTCATGTGCCTTTTGGCCATTTGTATTTCTTTTTTGAGGAAACTTCTGTTCATTTCTTCTCCCCATTTTTTGATGGGGTTAGAGGTTTTTTTCTTGTACAATTCTACTAGTGTCTTGTATATCCTGGCTATTAATCCCTTATCAGATGGGTATTGGGTAAATATTCTTTCCCATTCTATGGGCTCTTTCTGTATTTTGATGACTGTTTCTTTTGAAGTGCAGAAGCTTCTTAGTTTGATATAGTCCCATTTGTTTACGTTTGCTTCCACTTGCATGGTCAGTGCTGTTTCATCCTTACAGATGTTTTTAGCTTCAATGTCATGGAGAGTTCTACCTACATTTTCCTCTATGTACCTTATGGATTCATGTCCGATATTGAGGTCTTTAATCCAATTTGATCTAACTTTTGTGCCTAGCATTAGACAGAGGTCAGAGTTCATTTTTTTGCAGGTAGCTATCCAGTTTTCCCAGCACCACTTGTTGAAAAGGCTTTCCTTGTTCCACTTCGCATTTCTTGCTCCTTTGTCAAAGATCATATTGGTCATATATTTGGGGGTCTGTGACAGGATATTCAACTCTGTTCCATTGGTCTTCAGGTCTGTTTCTAGCCCAGTATCATGCTGTCTTAATTACTACTGCTTTGTAGTACAGTATGAAGTTGGGGAGGGTGATGCCATCCATCTTCTTTTCCCCAAGGATTGTTTTAGCTATTTGTGGGGGTTTATTGTTCCATATGAGTTTCAGGAGCAAAATGAGTCAGAAAGAGAGGGACAGACATAGAAGGACTGCACTCATTTGTGGAGTCTAAAACAACATAACGTGAGGCTGACACCCAAGGATAGTAGATACACGGGACAGATAGATTGCTTCATAGCTAGAAGCGTGGAGCAATATATCTTCTCCCCTTTGCTCATGCTTCCTGAGCAAAGGGGAAAAGGCAGCTGGAATAGAGAAGGGATCACTAAGAAAAAGATGGCTGGATGAATCGGTCGAGATGGGAGATGTGTGCAGAAAGCAGATAAAGAACCAAACACGATAACCTCTCAGGGTCTGTATTGCAAACCATAATGCCCAAAAGTAGAGAGAGATTATGGGGAATCATGTCTGCCATGGAGGCAGGGGGATGTGGGAAAGGGGGGGGACACACTGGGGATAGTGGTGATGGGGAATGTGCATTGGTGGAGGGATGGGTATTTGATCATTGTGTGATTATAACCCAAACATGAAAGCTTGTAACTATCTCATGGTGATTCAACAAAATAAAAAGTAATAATAATTAAAAAAAAGCACAATATCAGAACTTTGAAAGCAATACTTCTGGAGAAATTTAGAGCAGCAAATGCTTATATTTGGGCAAGAAATGTCTCAAATAAATGTCCTAAGTGTCTACCTTCCACAGAAAGAAGAAAATAATAAATATCAAAGCTGAAATCAATGAAACAGAAAATAGAAATAATAGTGAAAAATCAATAAACCCAAAAGCTGGTCTTTGAGAACAATAATAAAACTGATATGCCCTTAGCCAGACTGATAGGGAAAAGACACAATCAACATCAGGAATAAAAAAAAATGGTGACATCATTATAGATTTTATAGGTGTTAAAAGGATAATAAAAACATAACTTTATGCCAATAAATGACAATTTAGATAAACTAGACAACTATTTGCAAACCATGTATATGAAAAGTACTGATATCTCAAATATAAAAAAAATCTCAATATCCAACAGTAAAACCAAAAAAAAATTTAAAAATAAGACACAAACATTTCACCAAAGAGGTAAATGAATATGGATATGTTCAAAACATTAATCATCAAAGAAGCACCATGGTAAGCTTATAGTAAGATTCCACTACATACCTATTAGGAAATCTGAAAGGAAAAACAAAACCCAAGAACACAGTAATAGGGAAGTATACTCCAGAGAGAGAGTATATTGGTTAAGGCACTTGCCTTGCCCATGGCTGACCTGGGTTTAACCCCTGGCACTCCACGTGGTCCCCTGACCACTGTCGGGAGTGATCCCTGAGCAAAAACCCAGGAGTAAGCCCCTTTTGGGCCAGTGAGTGTGGCCTAAAAACAAAACCAAAAAAACATCGGGGACCAAAGTGATAGTACAGTGGGTAAGATGCTTGCCTTGAACATAGTCGACCCTGGTTCAATCCCCGGCATCCCTTATGGTCCTGGCAGCACTACCAGGTGCGATTCCTGAGTCATGGGGCCATGAGTAACCCCGAGCATTGTCAGGTTTGGTCCCAAAACAAAAAACAAAAAAATAAATACATTAATAATGTCAAACATTTTAAAGTAGAAACTAACCCTCTCATACACTACTGATGGGAATGTAAACCTCTGGAAATTGGTTTGGCAATTTTCAAAAATACACTTTCTTAAAAGTACTTACCCAGAAAATTAAACTCACACATTTACTCCAAAGAAATGAAAACTCACGTTCACACAGAAAACTACACAACTGTTGATGGCAGCTGTATTCACAACAGCCCCAAACTGGAAAATATCCAAATGTCCATCAATGCTTAAAAATTAAACCAACTCTGCAACACCCAATACTCCACCATATTGTTCAAAAATAAAAGGGAATATTCATACATCCAATAACTTTGACAGGCATCAAGGGTACTATACTGAATGAAAAACAATCAGCCTCAAAGATTATATACAATGAGATTTCATTTCTATAACATCTGGAAATGGCATCTCTCAATTTTCATTTATGAGATTTCATTTTAAAAAATAAGTATTTTAAAATTTTCTGCCATTTTTGAAATAAGTTGACATAAGTAAACAAAACAACTAAAGGTATACAAAAATTTAGGGGTGGCAGTGTAAAGTACAGTTTTACAATGCACTGAATGAAAACAAAAAAGATATACCAGAGAATAAAACAGAAATCAAACATAAAAATTCTGCATAATCTTTTTCCAATTTTGCTACTAAATCTTTAAATTTAAATTTTATTCATCTAATAGTTTTCAAGCCCCAACCATGAACCCTCAATGGGTTTATAATCTTACTCTTTTGGAGTAAAGCTCTGTGATTTACAAAACTACTAATAACAGAATTTCAGGTTTACTCTGTTCTAACACCCAACTGTCCAGTATCCCTTCACCAATGTCCCAAGATTCCCTCCCACCCCCCCAGCCCACCTCCCTAATGGGCACATTGTGGGGTTTAATTACTATTATTTGGGTCCCATAACTAACAGTGTTGGCTCTAATGGTTTTTGACATACAGATAGCACACCATAAAACCAACCCTGTGTGAGGGCCCCTGACACTGGTGCCTGTGACCTTCAGTATGCTTCTTATTCTCACCACCATTTCTCTCCGTCCCTGCCATTCTCTGTTCTGAAATCAAGAGCCCAGGGTTTGCCCACTCTGATACCTTCCATTTGACTTTGTTTTGAAAAAAGTTTACACATGCAAGCAATTAGGAAAGAAC